TGAAAGCATCCAAGTGCAAGTATGCAAGTGTAAGTATCCAAGTGTAAGCATGCAAGTGTAAGTATGCCAGTGTTAGCATAAGCATGAAAAACTTTCACGGGAGATATCCTAATGAAAAACATTCCCCCACTTTATAAATTATCTCTAAAGGTGGAGGGTGGGACGAACAGCGTCAACCGAAAATGCAACCCTCTACCGAGATCGTGCGTGTGGAGTGCGCGAAATGCAGGCGAGAGTGTGATTTGTTCGGTGCGCGCGCAACCTTCTGCGGAGATCATGCGTGTCGAGCGCACGAAATGCAGGCGAGAGTGCGATTTGTCCGGTGCGCGCGCAACCCTCTGCGGAGATCGTGCGTGTCGAGGGCGCGAAATGCAGGTGATTTGTCCGGCTCCGGCGCAACCTTCTGCGGAGATCGTGCGTGTCGAGGGCGCGAAGTGCAGGCGAGAGTGCGTTTTGGAGACTTGCCGCTTCACTTTGGAGGAAGTCTCGTACGAAACGCTCGTTTTGGAGACTTGGCGCTTGACTTTTGGAGGAAGTCTCGCACGAAGCGCGCGTTTTGGAGACTTGGCGCTTCACTTTTGGAGGGAGTCTCGTACGAAGCGCTTGTTTTGGAGACTGGGCCCTGCACTTTTGGAGGAAGTCTCACACGAAACGCTCGTTGGTCTTGGCGCTGCACTTGTGGAGCTGGACTCAGGCCTGGCCAGTTCGTAGTGCAAATGTAGTGCGGGAAGAAGCTTTTCGGAGCTGGACTCAGAAGTGGCCAGTTTGTAGTACAAAAGTAGTACGGGAAAGAGCTTTTTGGAGCTGGACTCAGAAGTGGCCAGTTTGTAGGGCAAATGTCATACGGGAAAGAGCCTTTCAGAGATGGACTCAGAAGTGGCCAGTTTGTAGTACAAATGTAGTACGGGAAAGAGCGTTTTGGAGCTGGACTCAGAAGTGGCCAGTTTGTAGTACAAAAGTAGTATGGGAAAGAGCCTCTCAGAGTTGGAGTGAATGTGGCCAAAGTACGTTCGTGATGTCGCAGTGCCATTGGGATTTGTGCGGCCTTGGTGGGAACTGCGTTTGCGTGGCGCCGTGCCACTGGGGAGCGCGAAACATGCGGCTGGCGTAAACGCGGACTGTCGCTGGTGAGCGGGATCATTGGTGGTATCATGTGATATGTTTGCTTCTAGTGTGTGGACAGACCGTGTGGCCAAAGTACGTTCGTGATGTCACAGTGCCATTGGGATTTGCGCGGCCTTGGTGGGAAGTGCGTTTGCGTGGCACCGTGACACTGGGGAGCGCGAAACATGCTGGCGTAAACGCGGCGTGTCGCTGGTGAGCGGGGTGATTGGCTGCCTCATGTGATACGTGTGCTTCTAGTGTGTGGACAGACCGTGTGGCCAAAGTACGTTCATGATGTCGCAGTGCCATGGGGATTTGCGCGGCCTTGGTGGGAAGTGCGTTTGCGTGGCGCCGTGCCACTGGGAGCACGAAACATGCTGGCGTAAACGCGGCGTGTCGCTGGTGAGCGGGATCATTGGCGGTATCATGGGATATGTTTGCTTCTAGTGTGTGGCGGACCGTGTGGTCAAGGTACGTTCGCCATGTCGCAGTGCCATTGGGATTTGCGCGGCCTTGGTGGGAAGTGTGTTTGCGTGGCGCCGTGCCACTGGGGAGCGCGAAACATGCTGGCGTAAACGCGGCGTGTCGCTGGTGAGCGGGATCATTGGTGGTATCATGTGATATGTTTGCTTCTAGTGTGTGGACAGACCGTGTGGCCAAGGTACGTTCGTGATGTCACAGTGCCATTGGGATTTGCGCGGCCTTGGTGGGAAGTGCGTTTGCGTGGCGCCGTGCCACTGGGGAGCGCGGAACACGCTGGCGCGAACGCGGCGTGTCGCTGGTGAGCGGGATCATTGTGGTATCAAGAGTGTCCCATAAGAGTGCCCCGCAAGAGCTTCCTACAAGAGTGACCCACAAGAGTGTCCTACAAGACGGCGTGTCGCTGGTGAGAGAGATGATTGGTTGTATTATGTGATATGTTTGCTTCTAGTATGTTCGTGACCTCTTCAGCGTTGTGCTGACACAGCGAGAAATGCACCAAGGTTGGCGCTCCTGAGCCACAACGTTGCGCTGCCGTTTCATCTGCACATCGACGTCTACACCCCCTCACCTCTGTACAAACACAGACATAGATACACACATAGACACACACACAGAGACCCACACACTTACTCAACACACTAGACTGAACACTTCACACTTAACACTTAACGCACAACTCACATTCTAACTTCACACGTGGTGAAAAATGCTTTAGGGCCACTCGTCGTCTAGTTTAATAGACATGTATCCCGCAGAGGGGGCCCAAGGCATCGCCTGCGCTCCGAGGTTGGGCTTGCAGCCGACGGCGACCGTGGTCGAGGCCAATCTAAGAAGGGTCGATGCCGCCGGTTTCACCGAAGGGTCGCGGCCAAGAGCCAAAAACGCCGGAAGGGGGTTTGTTTGCCCCCTGAACTGAAGACACTTGATGTAAATCCGCCGGTGTTTGTTCGCAGTTCAGGGGGCAACATGGGGCAACAAAGGCGCCCGATAATCCATCGGAATCCCTAAAAAGGGTTCACAGGACTGGAACATGTTTCTGTGTAGGAGAATGTGTGGATTCAGCAAGGAGGGTAGACTAGTACAACCCCCCATTTGGCTTGCAAAACCCCTGAAAACACTTCTTCCATATTTTGGGGGGGAGAATTATGAATTCAAGAGTTTACATGAATCGGCTGGTTGTTGATGAGCATGGTGGGTCGTTCCTCCAGCCCCCGGTCGCAGCCAGCCCCTCCCCCAGCCCAGTCCCGCCCTCGCTGACGTGGGCGGATTCGAGGCCCCCCGTTGGTTGGTTCCCACCTTGAAAAGAAACCATTTGTTCCATGTCCCAGTCGGTTGGTCACGGGTGAAAAGCAGAAGAATACTTGTCCCTGCTCTTGGAGAATGTTGGGATGTCAACCAAGTCCCTCTTGTGATCGGCAGGTTGACTGGCGATCCCTTTCACTCATGTGCAATCGGGTGAGAGGGCCCCACCTTTCAGACAAACCTGCCAGGTCCGGAAAGCATATCGGAAGCTGGCACTCAAATACCATCCCGACAAGAGCAAGGACTGGAGTGTTCTCCTGGTGATCCAGCGATGGCTTGAAGGTGTCCGGAATAAAACTCGGCTGGTTGAATTTTGGATATATATATATATGTATATATAGTCAGCATGATAGCTGGTTTCTACCAGTTTGCCACCTGTTTGTGATGTCTAGCACCCTCTGAGCAGGGCAGTTTCCAGACATGTTGGGGTTGGAAGGGGGGGCCCTGTGCACCGTTGGAAAACCAAGGTCTAAGGAGGCTGATGAAGTCATCATTCTCTGTCCTGAGTCTACGGAGGTGGTATGGGCTGTTGCAGTTGACGCATGTGTACGCCAGATCCTTGGGGGGTTCACTTTGGCTGATTCCAGCCACGTTCCGCAAGTCTTCAGCCACGTTTCGTGCGAGCGTTCGCTGCAAGTTCGCGTCCGTGAGTGCCATCCACCGTTGGAGGACGTTCTTAGGACATGCCCCAACCCGCGAGGATCCTCCAGTTGACGTTTGCCAAAAACCATCAAAAACCAGATGCTTTCAGCTTCATTCAGACTCCCATTCTGAATCCTCTTCTTTCGTGGTCGGTCTGGAAGGCACCAGGCGCTTACAGGTGCTTGCAGGCGACGTCGATGCGATCCTTGGCTTAGTCCTGGTCCTGCAGTCAAGTCCTTGCGTTGGACCGGCAAAACCGGAAGATGAACGAAAGATCTTTGGAGTCCATGGCGGTGGGCTCTGAGGTTTTGATTTACCAGTGCCGGGTGGGCACTGGTCGACTTCCCAAACAAATATGGGACTAAACCTTGGAAGATGAGCACGTCCTTTGTGAGGGCGACATGTCACATCGTTTGACCGTTCGTCATAGCCATCGCCATGTTTTGTTCAGGTCGTGAGGCCCTCAACGTCGTACTCACGTCGTAACGTCCGTCATGTCTCAATCCATCCGAGCACATCAGAACACCGTGGGAAGTCACAAGCCTTTGATAGGATCGACCCACACGGCTCGCCACCGGGCCGGCAGGACGTGGACGACGGTGCGCGGTTCAAAGAGCTCAGCATCGCCTACCAGGTGCTCCATGGCGGGTGTTTGACCGAGGAAAGGGCCGCAGAAAGGGCACTGGTGGAAATCTGGTGGAAACGGCCAACAATTTGTTTCTGCCCAGGTCGTTCTTCCCGGATACTCCCAGGTCGTTGTGGAAGCCCAAGGCCAAAGAGAAGAACAGGATGTGGAGTCATGGACCATGCAAGATTCCAAATGGCACACGATTTAAACCTTGCCGGTCCCGGGGGATTTGACCGGTCTCGCGGGTGGCTGAACACTGGGGAGGTCCCAAACACGGGCCGTCAGGCATTGTGTGAGCTGCTCGACTAGGCGTGGGTTTGGGCGTGGGTTTGAGCGAAAACTGGTTAAGTCCTACTTCTGTAAGTTGATTCCAAATGAGATTTCAGGAACTGGGCAGATTGGGGGTTGGCACTGGACTCAGCCGATCCACCATGTAGTAGCTTGCAGGTGCGGGTTTGTGTCCATAAAAAGGCAAAGGAGAGAACAAGTCAGAGAAGTGAAATCAAATCCTCTCCTTTTCCTGGGACCGACAACCGAGACCTTCCATGGAGACCGGGACCCTCGGGAGAGGGCATGAAACCCACAACCTCGGGACCCTCGGAACTTTCGAGTCTGCATGGAAGTTGTGTCCCTCGTGAATCTTGAATCATGTTCGTCTTTTGAAGTATAAGCTGTATACATCTGTATACATTAAGAACCATTGGCGTTTGGGTTCGCTGAATGCTTCACAACATCATTGTCCTTTGTCTCGGTTCCTTGGTTCCTTAAGCCCATGAAAGGGGTTTCGGGGGGCCGACCATCATCCCCAATCGGTTCCTACAACCATACATAGGTCTTGTCAATCCTTGGGCCCTCCCTGGCGGCAATGTGGCCATTTTCCAGGCGCTGCGTGACCCAAAGCTGGCACAAAATGCTGCGAATTCTGCGGGGTTTGAAGAAGACAGGTGGTCGTCATGGACTAGATTTGTGTGAAAAGCTGAAAAGCGTTGAAAAGCTGTGTTCCAGTTGGGAATGTCCTTCGGGGCATGAGCAAATCAGTAGCTGAAGAAATAGAGGCAGGCGAGTCCCGGCAACCAAACGAGCTTGGAAACCTTTCTGGACGAAGGACGATAAGTTTTTTCAGATGTGTTCTACTGGCTTCAGCTAGTGGCTGCTAGTGTCACCTACTAATTGTTTGGGTTTGGGCTTAATTATAAGATGTGGTTTCTGGCACGCCACAACTGGCTCCAACGGAATATAAGTTATAGAGAAGTGAAGACAGTACAATGTTACAATCGGTTGCCGGTCTTGCTCCCGCACCCGAAAACACACCTAGGTTTGTGGCCCAACCCCAGAGGTGAACTTAAAAGAGATGGAGTTTTTGTTGCCGAAAAAAGGATGATTCGAAGCAACTTCGCTCTCTAAGACCTAAATCAAAGATCAACAAAGCGTATGGATGCTTTTCGGGCACCCCGATGCTCGGTGTGTCTTCCGCTTTCAGACTCGGTGGTCGATGGCCGAGACCGATCGTGCAATACCGCTTCGACTCGGCGCGGGGGCATCGCTACGAGTCCGGAGCGATCGGACGCGACGAGTCCGGGGCGCTCCTGGCCCGAGACGAACGGAGATCGAAGCTACGCATGGTCGGAACCCTGGTCTTGGTGTCACGGTTGTGCGAGCGGTTTCAAACCCATGTGACCATACCGGGAACCTGGTATGTGACCACTGGGTGCCTCACCCTGTGGCTTTTCTTCGGCGTGCGGCTCGGCACAGAGGCTTGTGGCGGCGAGAACGACACAGCCATCGAGGCATCCCGCAGCTTTCGGATCAGAGACTGTTGAGTTCGGATCAGGACTCACTTGTCACTGTAAGAACGGCCTGCTGCTTTGCGCTGCAGAGCTGAATCTGCTTAGCTTGGCACAGTGATGCAGCAACAGAGCAAGAGGACATACAGTAATAGTTCCGAGGCAAAATCGCTACGGAGCTCAGAGAGCCAGCATGAGCCAGCAAGTTTCATATCGTTTCTCTCAACATCTAACAACATCACCGGCATACTGGCATACTTGAAAACCCCAGCCCTGCACTACATCATTATTGTGAATCAACAATTCCATTTGTTTCCATGTCCCATTTGCATTCGACTTCGCTGCAGCTCATGTGGTGATTTTTATAGCCCGTCCCCTGAGCTTCAAGAGAGGGATCAATCACTGAGCTCCGCTGATTTTTTGGACCAGCCATGTCTTCTGGAGCCGAGTCTGTTGGCTGACTGGGCGAAACCGAAGCGCTGGAGGACTCAGAGTATCATAGAGTATCCAGAAATGGGGACAGCGAGGTGATTAGAGCTCCTGTTTTATATACAGATGTCTCACCGGTGAAAGGGAGCTGGTCAAGTTGGCTGTCGGGGGAGTGTACAACGACAATCGCAACAAAGTGTGGGTAGAAGCTGTACATTCGACCATTGGATATACTTTTTCTGTACCTATAGCTTTCACATGGAAACAGAGAGGTACCCTCTTTGGTACCTGTGGCGCTGATTGGAAAGTGAAAGGGCAGATGGCGGCAGACCCTACTTCGGAACTGAAGACGGTCTAGGCTCTAGGACTCTAGGCAAGATGTTTTCATCGTGGCTCATCTATGTAAACGAAAAATGAATGTGGCCACGCTTCGCGTGGTTTTCTCAGAAGAATTCAGAAGATGTAAAGCATAATTTGCGAACTCGTCAAAGTTGTGGTCCCACCGGCGCTATCAACTCCATCTCCACGGCGGTGTCTCACGGTCAAGCCAGTCACCACCCATGAAATACTCTCTTTGAGCTCACCTTGTGCAGTGGCCAAGGGTCAGGAAGCTGCAGACATCGAAAGACATCTACAGACTCGGTGTTTTGCTGCTCACCGAAAACCGGGTTTCTTACTAGTGATGGGAGCCAACTGGAACTCGACAGATTTGCCTCGGCTCCAGGCTATGGAAGGTTCCTTCCCCCCATCGCGGCATGCACAGTGCCTGGGCCGCACCAGTCAGACGACGCACAGCGATGGATGGACTTCGCGGCGGAAGGATGGAATTCGCGGATGGGGCTTGCGGAAAGTGTGTTCGTTCAATTGGGTCAAAATCTAAAAGGTATGTAATAAGGCTCTTGTATCAAGGCCTCAATTCATGTCATCGGATTGGACCTCCGTCTCGGTGCCGCACGTGGTGCTTCTAGCATTCGCACTGCCGCTGTTTGGCTTCATCACCGCTGTCGCCCATCAAGGCCCGGCACCCGAAACCCGAGGTACGGAGAGCATTGGGGGGAAGGTGCCGCACGATGCTTCAGCCTCGAAGCTGACATCCTGGACGAGGTGTCGCCGAGAAGGTCTCGGGTTTTTGGGGATTTGGGGCGCGGCCTCATGTTTGTTCGCGTTTGCGTTCGAAGGCGCGCGAGACCTGAAGCGAGACCGCGAGAGTTTCGAAGAAGAGCTGCACCCTCGGACCAACGAGAAAATCGAAGCTGTTAAGACGGGCTTAATTAGGTTTGTTGGAAATGTGAGCGACAGCCTTCTCAATCCATTCATATATAGGCAGACTACTTGACAGAATCGAATCGATGTTGGGGGAGTAACAAGAAGCTACTAGTAACATCTAGTAACAAGGCACCTTACTGCTATAGTAACAAGAAGCTACTCGTAGCTCCTGGCATTACTACTAGTAAGAAGAAGCTACTAGGGGTTTTGGAATAGATTTCAGCATCGCTAAATCGCCTCGATGTCCGATCCTTACCAGACCTTAAACGGGCCCCTTGCGCGCGCGGCACGCATGTGTCGCGGCCCGCGGCCCCCGTTCTTCGCGGATGGCCCAAATTGGGCCTCGGAACGATCTGGGGGACGCTACCATTGGTCCAAACGTGGCCCTCTGGATAGACCTTGCTTTTTTGAGGAGGTCTCAAGCTGATCACGCCGGTCAAATTAGCGAGTCACGTTGCACCGTAGTATTACGGTACCTTCTTAATACCTGCAACATCCTGAAACCACCCCTTCGAACTGTTTGTTCGTTTGGAGAGAAGCTGGCCTAAGAGAGGACACCCCTCTGTCCAGATGGACGACTCGGCACCGGTTTCACCCAGGACCATGCAGTTCGCCTCATGCCAGTGCCGGATAGCTTTGTCGGGAGACCAGATCGGTCCTGGGAGTTGGGGATGAAGGCAACATTGAGACGGATACCACATATATATATATATATATGATCGAGGGTCCTTTAGGTATCATTTCGTACTCAGAAACAAACACAAATGATTTAATTTTCAATTCAAATATTTATTGCAAAAAGCATTTGTAAATTAAAAATTGATAGATTTTGATGTTTTATTTATTTTTTTAAAAGATTTATTTAATTTATTCAATTTTTCAAATTGTAACTTAAATATATTTAAAAGTTAAAATATTTCTTTTTGTTTGTGGATTCGGCTATTTAAAAAATTAAATAAATTAAATAAATTAAATAAGTTAAATCGACGTGTATATATTTTTTTAATTTATTTATTTTTTTAATTTACAAAAGGCTTTTGTAAATTAAAAAAATAAATAGATTTTGATTTATTTTTTTTATTTAAATTTACAAAAGGCTTTTGTAAATTAAAAATCGAATAGATTTTGATTTATTTTTTTAATTTTATTTAATTTTTTTTAATTTACAAAAGGCATTTGTAAATTAAAAAATAATTCGATTTCGATTTATTTTTTTAATTTTATTTATTTTTTTTAATTTATTTAATTTTTTAAATAGCCGGATGCCACTGAGTCACTCTATTAAATATAATTTTGTTTTTATTTTTAATTTACAAAAGGCTTTTGTAAATTAAAAATGTAAAGTAAAAAAATACATAGATTTTGATTTATTATTATTATTTATTTATTTAATTTTTTAAATTGTAAATTAAATATATTTAGAAATTAATATATTTCTTTTTGTTTGTGGATTTGGCTATTTAAAAAATTAAAAAAATTAAATAAATTAAATAAATTAAATCGACGTGTATCTATTTTTTTAATTTATTTAATTTTTTTTAATTTACAAAAGGCTTCTGTAAATTAAAAAATAAATAGATTTTGCTTTATTTTTTAATT